ACTAAAAAAAAAAAGAAAAAAAGGAGGGGGGGGCTCAGTTGACTCCACTAGCTCCGTGGATTCTGTCATTTCACCACAATGGACTTTTTCAGTCTTTTTCCTCTCACTGTAGGCTTATACATGGTCTCCTTGTCCTTGTTAGAATTATACAAGTCATCTCCGTGTGGAGCATGGTAATTGCATTATTCTTGTGATTGATTTTAGTAAGTTTGGAATAGCTTCTTTTTTGTTCAGAGAATCTCTTTTCTATAATTTACCTTCACCACCTTTATTTTAAGTGAATATTCCCTGAGTGAATAATATATACAGTATTGTGAATATATATATTATTATAACTGTTTTTTTACTATTGTTGATAATAATTGCTGGCTGTTCCTTCTCTTTGATGACAAGTTCTCATCTGACTGTGAAGTCCAGTTTTTGTATGTATTTTTCTATCCACAGGGTGACAAATGTCAGATTAACTAAAAGTTGTTCTTTCCTGCTCTCTTTGTTTTATTAACAGAACATAAGTTCTTTAAACCAGCATAAATTTCTTGCAATATTTTTTTCTGTTGTAAGCATTTGCCATTACATGTCAGTTGAAATCATTTTTTTAGGTTAGACTTAAAGCAGCCTTTATGATGTGTAATTTTTATATTTGAAGGGGGTACATGCATGTTCCTGTCTGTATGATGAGTTGGTAATTTTTGCTTGAACCAGACACCTGCTGCATCTTTAGAAAAGAAAGATTTATAAATTTAAATACAAAGTTCTCTGCGTAATCCAAGAACTCTTAGATCTTTTAGCTGTGGAGCATGCAATATGCATAGCTGATTGGAGTGAGAAGCGTAGGTGTATGTAGAGTGTAAGGGCAAAATTAATTGGAATCTTGTGAGGTGTGTTTTTCAGGATTGGAAACTGTTGCAGGAAAGAAGAAACATAGAAATTGCAGAAATATTTAGGCATGCTGTGTAGGTGTAGGTGGTTATGTCTTATTTCTGTTGTTTTGCTTTATTTTTCTCCTCAGATGCTGCTACAAAAATTTGAAGGATCTGGGCCTTGAATTATCATTTCCTGAGACCAACAGCTCCTTGATTCTAGTCAAGAAAGTGCCGCTGTGTTTTATAGAAAGAGAGGCCAACGAATTACGACGGAAAAGACAACCTGTCACTGAAAGCATTGTGGAGGTCAGTTATGGATGTGGATCAGAGCAATTTGTGATACTGGCTTTCTGGGTTAATCACTGTTATGAGAGAGTTATGGCCAGTGTGGGGGCCATCTCTTTTAGTAGCTGAAAGTCCTATACTGAAGTCCCTGACAGCAGTGATAGGAGTCTGATTCAGACTAGGAACAGTGAAAAAAACCGAGAAAAATAGTAGGCAGTTCAGATATTTCATCAGTTTACTGCTCATCCTTCTTGAACGCTTGAATGAACAGTGAAACAATTGTTATTGCTGGTATGGAATATTTGTTAGGATTTTCATGAAGTCTGCATGTGCAGTTCAGCTTTCTAAAAGCTGCTGTTCCAGATGTTCTGTGGTTTGAAGAAGAAATTGCTGAACTGATTGCTTGCAGTTTCCATTGTAAACAGTTCTCCACAATTGTTAGTGGAACGAGGACTCTCCTTACAAATTGTTTCTGGAGTACCATATTCAGCCACTAGGCTGAGCCATTGTGAATCAGTCCAGTCTTGCCACTTGTCTCTTTTGATACAAAGAGAGAAAAAGATAATTCATCTGATTTAATTTATTTTTCCAACCCTGCTAGAATCAGGTAAAAGTCAGAATGCACTCTCCTGGTGTGCCAAGAGCCCTGAAAATGGTGGCAGAGTGCTTTTTTGTTTTATTTTTTTGAATGGTAGCTGCAGATCATGTCTGTCCCTTACCAGCACTCTTTCTTAGCTGAAATGTCAAGATCTCATGAGTGTTTTGGCAGACCTATTCTGCAGTCCTTTTTATTTTAATTAGGACTAGTAGCACCTATTCATGATTGAATTCTCTGTATCTTAGACATTAGAAATTAAATCCACGTGGACTATTATTCAAAGAAGAAATGGCAATTATTCAAAGAGAGCATGTATATATTATACTCTGAAGTATGAGAGTTCCATTATATCCATTTTTCAGGTATATTCATATATATTTTGTATATAGAAGGTCTATTATATAATATGCTATATAATAGAGTATATTTCTACAGGAAACTGGTGCAGAGAGAAACCAAGCGATTAGTCTCAGGCCTGACAAGGTATTTGTGAGATGTCAGGACTTGTGCTGGGAACTTTCACACTATGGTCAATGTACAAGCAACTGCATCATTTTTTCCTGGGGAATATTGGCATTTATGCATTAAATTATACACAAATGTGGACAAAGCCGGGTATGGGCACCGAAAGGGAGGAATAGCAACTGATCATTTTGCCTTTTTCTTTCCAGGAGTTTATTCAAGAACAAGTTGAGGTGAGTAGCTGTCTGCTTCTAAAGTTGACCGGTATAATGCAAAGCTTATTGCACAAACTAGAGGGAATAAGAGCAATAAGCACCATAAGAGAGATGTGGATTTAGCTCATTCTTGTTATATTTCTCCCTTTCTTTTTTTTTCTTTCTTTTTTTTTTATTAAATGGAATGTAAGATAATGTTCCCTTACTACTTTTAGCTAGTGCAGACCACAGGACGAGCACGAGGGACACTGCCTCTGACGCTTCTGAAGGTGTTAGCTTCCCAAGCCTGTCATGGTAGGGGAACTGTACTTTTTCTTTTCTTTCATTCCTTCTTTATATTTAGTTTTTCAACCTTTCTGCTTCTACATAGCATTCTTCCTAGGGCAGTAGTTTCAGAATGTGTTTGCAGGAATTCCAGGATTACAGTTTCATAGGGATGAGGAGATAATGGTCTCTTCGTGAACAGTACCGTGAGGGACAACAACCACTGCGCTGGTTTATTTGTGTGGTCCTGAAGTAATTTCCAGCCCACACATGAAACACTGATAAAATGCGGTGTTTTATTCACTGAGATGCTCTCAACCCTGGGAGCATTCAACCAAGTAACAGTTCTTCCTCACAGGTGTAGACTGCAGTAGGTCTAACCTCTTGGGGCAGTTTCTGTGTTATGTAAAATATTAATGAGATTGTGCTGAAAGGGTAAACCTGAACCAAAAGCATCTATTTTCATGCTGTGTCACTGCATTCTACAAATGGCAGACTGTATATTACAACTTTTTATATCTAAAAAAGTCCCACAGCTGAAGGGCAGGATTCATACAGTTTTGTCAATCTGTGAAGGCTAAAGTCTGCAGGCACCTCTGCTCTGCCTCCTTAACGTTCTGCTTTGATTTCCTCTGGATGCCATTAAGTGTCCCTTTGTGAGAAAGGACTTAAGGGCAGGGTCAGTAGCAGGCATATAAAGCTGATAAAGCCTATGGAACTGGTAATAGCTGTCTTCTGGTTTTACTGCCTTTATGTGCATCTCCAGTCCTTAGGAAAAAAAAAAAAAGAAAAAGCTCCTTTGCTTCTTGCAACATCACCTGGAAAGCCAAAATCTAATAATCCTACCATCTATCAGACTTAGATAAGGTGAAAGGGTTTAGGCTTTGGATAGCTGATCCGCATGCAGTAGCAGGAGGTGGTTTGCATTCCCTCTGGCAGCACTTTCAAGAATTTTCTCTTATTCCAGGAGCTATCAAGTTCAATGACAGTTTGACTTTGGAGGAGAGCTGTCAGCTCATTAAAGCTTTGTCCTCTTGCCAGCTGCCCTTCCAGTGTGCTCATGGCAGGCCTTCCATGATGCCCCTTGCAGACATCGACCATCTGCAGCAGGAAATTCAGGTACTGTGTGGGGCACTGAAATAAGGCAACGTGCCCTGGGTTATGAGGCTTATCGTGTACGTGTGTGTTAGAACTGGAACAGACCAGCACTGTCTGTATCTTACACAAACTTTTACAGAGCTGTTATCAGTAAAATAATAAATAATTAAATAAACCTCTGTCCTGCAAACACTTTAGAAAGGATTTTAACATGTTCCATTTGAATGGTCACCCTGGCTTGAAGCAGGTTCACTAGTGGTTGAAGTCAAGTTGTGGTTTTTAAATGTAAGATTTGGAAAACATGTAAGTTCTGATATTCCGCTAGTAGCAAGTGTGCTGAAGATTGAACAAACACCTATTTTCCCAAAGTTTAAGATGCCTTAAAATAGGGAAAGAAGCAAAGAAATAGCAACATTTCTTTAAAATTAGAAAAAAAAACAACAACCTCCTCTCCTGTGAATACTACAGTATATTAGGTTATTAAATTAGATTCTGTTGAAAGTCACGTGGGACTTTGAATTAGATATGACAAAGAATGGGAACGTCTGTATTAGGGCAAAGAGCACGGAGACATTGAACTAGATTTATTTATTATTATTGCTTAATATTTTTCCCTCCAGCCTAAACCTAACTTGGCTAGACTGCGGAAGATGGTTCGAGCATGGCACCTGTTTGGGAGCAAAGACCCTAACCAAAAGAAGTACTGACCTAGGAAGCAGAGAGCAGCCAGGAGAACACGGCAGAAGCCCAGCCCTGAAGCCTGGAGAAGCATCTTCAACGTTAAGGAACTGTGTTGTAAACCTGGGTCACGTCACTGCTTGACTATCAAGGGCAAGTTGCAGCCACTCACAGTTACTGCAAGCACAGCAGGATTCTGCATAATAGAGAAGAGACTTTTAATTAATGGATTTTATAGTGCTTTGAAATTGAAGAGGTATTTATTAATAAAATTAACACTAAAGTATTTCTGTGGGCTCCTGGCAGTGGTTGGAATGAGGACTGACCAGCTTCATAGTAAATACAAGCCAACTTGGGATCAAAAAAAGGTGTCTCTGCTTTAGAAGGCAACGACACACCCAGCTGTTTTCTCCATCTCCCTGCAGTTCACATTCTTGAGTAATAGGTTTCTAAATCCTAGCATAGCCCCACTTTCGCCGAAACATACCCTTACAGAAAGGACTAAATAGCTCATGGCATTTCTAACACTAGGCAGGGTTTTTTTTTTTTTTTTTTTCGAACACATTCCTGTTCTATTTTGCATCTCAGCCTAGGCTAAAAAGGAGTATTTCAGAACAGTAAGAGATGCCTTTTTATTTAAATCACAGCCATCCTTGTTCTGTGTTAAAACCTACGTTAAAAAATAAATGCTATTGACATCTGCTGCCCCTCACAAAAAGCAAGAGCTTTCAGAACAGGACAAGATGCCTGCCAGAGAAGAATAATCCCAGTCACCCAGTAGCAAATGGGAAGGAAGACCCACAGACTCCAATAAGCAAAGCAAGAGCTTGAGCTCTGCCCTGTGATGCAGAGGCGAACAAGCTTGCTGACAGAAGCCTGCCTTTCATCAAGAAGGCAATTTCTATTCCAGCACGTTACAAAAAAAATAGTTGTATTTCAGCAACTCAGCAAAAACTGACATAAAATTCTACCAAAACACTCATTTTTGAAACACATTACTAGTGGATTTCTATTACAGTCGTAGGCAAAACACACCTTCAGCTTCCTACGGCAGCACGGGTGCAGGCAGCTCACTGCACTGGTAAGACTCCTGCTAGTTATGGAAACAAACTAATTCTACATGGAAACATGAGTAACCCTGAGGTCACCCTGAACAGCCTTTATTACAGCACACCTTGAAATAACAGCTTAGCTGCCCCAGAGAGTGACTTGGATGCCTTGCTATTTCAAAATTGAAGTTGGTTAGCAGCTCCCTGCGACTTGTAACAGCAGAGGGTCAAAACCTGTACGAGCGATCTGTCTTCTGGTCTTTCTGGTAGGGAGGACATTGCACTGAGCAGATTCCCCACAGCAACTCATCTTTGCAACACAGGCGTTAATTAGCTGATGCATCTTTCTCTTTAGAAAGATGGGAGAAGTCTGGAGAGTGACAGACGTGCTTGGTGTTAGAGTTCGTAGTCATCTGGGTGGTAGAGTTCACTCATGAGGCGGTAGATATAGGAAGGCGCGTTACCCCCGATGTTAGAAATGAAGAGAGTAATGAGCTCTGGTGGGACGTAGTCAAACACTGGGCAGTGCACGTTGATCTTGGCCAGGATCTCCCCTGAAAAGTGAAGAGCAGCAGGATTAGACAAACAACCTAGAGAAAGCACGCTCAGCCTTCTGTGCTTAGCCCCCTGCTTCTTCCTGAGCCCCTCAAACTGGCTATGCACATGTCACCCTGAAGTCAGTACCAGGACATCCAGAATCCTTTCCAACTTCTCCACCAATGTCTTTTAATCACAAATACACAGCAATCCTGGACGAGTAGCAGCATTCTCTGCTCTTCTGCTAGTTTTTTCCCCCCCAGCAGTAACCCTAAGTCCCCTCTGATGCTGATTTACAGAAAACCTGACAGTATTTAATCAGAATACAGGAATCCCAATGCTGCCAAAGTTACTACTTAAACAAAAGCTCTGAAGGCCAAAATAAAAAGCCTGCATCAAACCTGATATATTTTTTCCCAAAAGTCTTTGTCCCATGGAAACGGGGCACTTAGAGAGACATTACTGTCTGGGAGGGAGCCTGCGAGCTGCCACCTTGCTAAAGGTGGTGCTCGGGTGGGAAGCCCGTTGCAGAGAGACTGGATTTCAGTGAGTGGATCATGTAACAAAATTTCAAGAAGTTACATGAGTCCTGGGAAGGAAAGCAGTCTGCCCCCAGTGTCAGGCATCTGCTGCATCCCACAGGAAATTGCCATCTGTCTGATACCATTATCATAATCCTATAATAAAGTGCTGAACAGCTCAGAGCAGAAGCAAGACTACAAAGAGAGACAATGTTCAAAAAAAAAAAGAAATCTTGACCAGCCTGTATAAAAAAAAACAGTACCTTCTGTGAATGGCAGCACTTCCTGTGGCGACACAAACTTGTGGAATGAGTCTTCTTCATTAGGGAACTGAATGAGACAGAGTACAGAAAGGTCAGGGGAAAAAGAGCACCTTGTTATCCTTAGTGAAAATATGCAGGGTGCTAAAAAGAACTAAAGCAGAGAAAGAGGACTTGCCAGCAGATAATGCGTCTGTTTACAACAATTACACAGCAGTTGTGGCAAGAACTCCTGCAGCACCTACAAGTGAAAGGTTTTCCCTAAACATTTTTAGAGCTATGGCCTGTACGCCCTTCTGCAAAGCCTAGGGAATGGGAACAGAGACACGACTTCCTCATTCTGCATCTTGATCTGTCAACACTGAAAACACTCAGTGCAGGAAACAGTAGAGAGCATCCCCATCTACAGAGGGTCCTTCACCACTAAAGACATAAACAGCAGAAAAATGCCACTTGGCATAGCAGGGAGTGCTTCCAGGAGACCCAGATGTGCGACAGATCTGGGTAAGGATCTCCTGTCTGAAATAACAGCGCCAGATTGGGGAGATGCTCGTTTATCAACCCCCCATTGGGACAGGTGGTGCTCTCCACCCTAAGCTTCCCCCAGCAGAAAAATCCCCCCCTTAAATCCAGTGAAGGTCGGTGCAGTACCGAAGGGGCGCTGCACTTACCTGTGGCGAGAGCTTGAACATGGGGGCGCACACGATGAGCGGGGTGGAGTGGTGCTTCGCTGCCAGCGCCAGGGTGTGAGTGCCGCTCACGGCGATCAGCGCCCCGTTGGCCAGGATCGTCTTCGTACCAATGATGACCTGAAAAGGCAAATTAGTGTTAGATGCATGCTCTGCAGCAGAGCTTCCTGGCTCAGACCCTCCCGGATGAGATGGAGGAGTCTGTCAGGACAAACAGGGAATGCCGGGCAGAACCTGGGCTGCGTTCCCTGTTCTGCTACAGGCCTACAAAGGAAGCTTGTGCGAGTAACCTGACTGCTGACCGCAAGGACTGCCTTGCTGTAACGTGAGAATGAGCTAAAGCAGCTTGAAATAAATAGATGAGAAGCGGTGGGACTGGATTTTATTAATTAGGATGACTTTTTTTCCTGTTTGGGGTGTCAAGTCCTTATCTTGCACCTCAACAACTCCCTTCACCACCCATCTTGTGTTCCAGGCAAGAGGAATTTCTCCTCTGGAAATGCTTTCTGTTCCATTTTCTTTAATAACTGGGAAGTTAATGCTTCAGGGCTCTCCTGGCTTGTTTTTTTTGCAACTGTTCTGTCCGTTACCCACAACAGCAGCAAAACCAATCACTATGCAGTTAGTCATCATACTGATTTGGGGTTGCACACTGCATTTCTACCCCATCTGTAAGCAGGGGATTAGTACAATTGTGAACCTTCACAGAAGAAGCACGTCCATCATAAATGGGACCTGCAGCAGTTTGAGGCCTAAGCACCAAACCTGCGAGAACTCCCTCGTGCAGCAGAGCCCTACTCACCTTGTTGACTCGAGACATGACAGCAAAAATAGCTGCGTCGCTCATGACAGTAGTCTCGATGTTCTCTTTGGACAGCCGGACTGCCATTTCGTGCCCCTGAAAAGAGAGAGAACCTAATTGTTTCCCTGGAACACAGCTCCTAAAGTGCAGTTATAGATATTAGCACTCAATTCTTGTCCAAGCCACAAAGATATCAAGGATCAGAGCACGCGCGCAGCTCCCCAGCTGAAGGGCACAGGGCAAGACAGCGGGCAGTCTTCAACCTCACCTGGCAGAACGGCGCGCACTCCGCCACAATGACCTGGAATTTCCTCTTGCGGGCAGCCTCCTTCAGGAAGGCCTCAACAGTGCGAGAGTAGCCAATGGTCATGATCACCTCGTTGGAGTGGATGTGCTCCAGTGCCTGCATTGCGATGTTATCCGTGGTGCCCTCTGTAACGGAAGGGAGCCGTGAGCAGAAAAGAAGCTGGGAAAAGCAACACTTGTGAAGCTGTCCCCCAACAAGGTTATTTTTTACTTAAAGCAATGCTGTGAAGACTGGGAGAACAGGAGCAGCGTTTCTCCCCGTTACTTTTACGGGGAGGGAATGAGAAGCTGGCCCTTGAATGCTCTGTGCTTCCAAGCTACTGGCCCTATTGAAAATTCCACCGCTAGTGGAGTGGGCTGGGTCAGCAGCAGCCAAGCACCATGCCCACACGACAGAAATTCCAGTTTTCCAGCCCAGTAGCACTACAGCCATGTGGAAAGGAGATGTGGGGCAGCCTGGAGGTGCAGCCAGTGCCTGATCTGTCAGGAGACTACAGGAGAAGAAAAACGTATCCCAGCGCTATGCACAAGGGCAAAATTATGCTCATAGGGAGTAAGCCCAACCTCGGCAGATTGTTCATCCTCTGCTTCACAGGGCTCAGCTCAAGACTTCCCAGAAGAGCAACGGAATAGTCAAACAGACGCTCCTATTTCCTTCATCTCTCTAAACCCAAAAGCAGAGGCTGCTCCCCTAACACACCTTCCTTCAAACTAAGCCTCCCAGCTTCTCACTGCCTTCTTTCCACTTAAGAGCAGAGAGAAGCATCAGCCCCATCCCATAAGGAGCCGCACTCACAGAGCAGTGAAGACCCCCCCATACCTAGCTCTATTAGCAGCTCGTTGATAGCTTCAATAACGTTAGCTTTGAGGGTAGGGTAGGAGGTATTGAAATCCTCATTCAGCCCTCCAGAAGTCAGAAGCTTGTGCAGGGATTCCTGCTGGTCGCTTTCCTCGCTGCGCCCGCGAAGCCTGTGGAGAGAAGGAGCCCTTCAGCCTCGGGAGAGCACGTGGGGCATGGCCTGACACAAGGCAGCAGGAGGGCTCTTGAGCTTGTGTCCCCGCAGCACAGCACATGGATATGAATCGAGGGGAAGGAAAAACTGCATGCAGAGGTCATGACACACCAAAGTCTCCTTAGATGTCTCTGTCAGAAAGACACCTGACACTCCGCCACTGAGAACTTCCCCAAGTCGTGTCTAAAACCTGCGGCAGGCACATGGAGAGCAGCGCTCAAAGCCACCGCTGCAGTGGAGCAGACCCTCCTGGGAATGCAGGGGGACGAGAAGCTAAGGGGAGAGCCCAGGCTGCTCTGCTGGGGACAGGGAAGCTCACACACCCACAACACACGCCGGGTGGGGTTTCACTAGAGGCAACACCCCCGCTCCCCCTCGGCTCCCGAGGGGCTCCCCACCTGCCGTACTCCTCGCGGATGACCTTCAGCACTCTCCGCACCATGTTGCCCACGGTGGTCTCGGACGGCTGCGCCGCTGCCATCCTGCGGCCCTCCGCCCGGATCAGCTCCATCAGCTCCCCTGCAAGAGGCCACAGCCGCGTCACCGCCACCGCCACCACAGCCCCCCCGCTGCCGCCACAGCCGTGACGGGGAAGCCGGGCCCGCGGGGGCCGGGCCGCAGCCGCTCACCGGCCGAGCCCCAGTGGCCGTGCGCGATGATTTTCCGCAGCAGCGCCAGCGTCTGCCTCGCCGTGTCCTCGGAGCGCGGCCGCCCCCCGCCGCCGCCCCGCAGCCGCGCCACGAAGGCCTCCATCTGCTCCCGCAGCTCCGCCGCGCCCGGCATGGCGGCGACCACCTCCACCGCCGCTCCGCCACCACCGCCGCTTCCGCCGCCGCCGCCGCCGCGCCTTGCTATTGGTGGAGACCGAGGCGACCAGGAGAGGCGGCCAATGAGAGGCCAGGGGAGGGGGTGGAGGGCCCGCCCCCGTTACCTGGGAGACGGGCGGGGAGCCCCTCGCTGCCCTCCCTCCCCCGCCGCGGGGGGTTGTGGGAAGGTGGCGGGTGGGCGCCTGAGGGGGGGGTGGGGGGGCCATGGCTGCCCCTCACATCTTGTGCCCATCACATTTCATTGTGCCCCTCACATGGCTGCCCCTCACGTCTCCTTGTGCCCCTCACATTTCATTGTGCCCCTCACATGGCTGCCCCTCACATCTCATTGTGCCCCTCATGTCTCCTTGTGCCCCTCACATCCTGTCCCCCTCACATCTCCTTGTGTCCCTCTCATGGCTGCCCCTCACATCACTGCCCCTCACATCTCAATGTGCCCCTCACATGGCTGCCCCTCACATCTCCTTGTTCCCCTCACATCTTGTGCCCCTCACATCCCATTGTGCCCCTCACATCCTGTTGTGCCCCTCACATGGCTGCCCCTCACTTCTCCTTGTGCCCCTCTCATGGCTGCCCCTCACATCTCCTTGTGCCCATCTGATGCCCTCAGTGCTTGCTCCATGGCCTCTGCCAGTCCCTAGCATGCTGTCCAGGCACATCCCTCCTTCCCTGCTGCCCCCTCTGCCCCTTCACCCTAGCATCAGCTGTGTGCCATCTGCAATCCTGTATAAACCAGAAGCTCCATGGAGTGCCCGCCCAGCTGCGTCCATGCCATGGGCAGCGCCATTCCCCCGTTTTTGCCCCTCCACACATGAGCGGTGTGAGGCAGGACGGGGCTGCCCGCTTCTGCTGCCGTGTGCCGGGCCGTGGCATGCACAGACCGCTCCCACACACGCACCCTGGGACCATGGCACGCAGAGATTCGGCCAGAAAAAAATATCCTTGCTTTGGAGCTTTGCTTTGTTTGTTTACTTGTCTGGCTCGTAAACAGAGCAGCTCTTGGAGATTAGGCAGGAGGGAGCAAGAGGAAGGGAAACCGGACTCGGGGGTTATGACCTCCGTGTGGATGCCGGGCTGTTTACATTCCCCGCTGTGGCCCCAGTGACCATTGCGGGGCAGTTTGTGCTCAGCCTCCTGTCCTGCCAGCCTGCGGGGTTTGTAGCTCCCTGCTTGCGCTGCCCCGGCCCTGTTCCCTGCAGCACTTCCCGCTGGGCACTGCTGCCACAGCCAGCCCGAAACGGCTGCCAGCCCGTTGTCCCCGAGGGGCAGAGCCCTGTGTTCAGCCTGCTGCCTCGCGTTTCATGAATGAAAGCCTCTGAATGGGGATTGCAGGATCTGCTAGCCCGGTGGCCCTGTGGAGCTGAGCCGAGCCAGGACCTGTGTTCCCCTGGAGAGCTGAAAGGCAAACACTGGGCTCTGGCTGCTCAGAGGGACCGTGGCTAAGGGACATCTGGTTGTCGTGAGCCAGCAGCTGTGCCAGGGGCTGGTGCATTGGGCCAGGAGTGCCCAGCAGGAGTGAAAAGGGAGGAGGGTGGCACAGTTCCAGCAAGGGCAGCCCAGGGAGCATGGGGCACACAGAGGAAGCAGCTGGGAAGACGCCTTTTGGTGTCCTGGTACACTTGGTACACTTGGCTGGGATCCTGCTGGCTTGCAGGCTGTGCTGGCTGCTGTGGCAGAGGCAACGAGGTGGGGGCCCACATGTGGGTCCTGGCCAGCGTTACAGAACAGGAGCTAAACCCTCTGACCCCACTGTCTTGCTGCAGCCTGCTGCCTCCTGCACGTCACACCCCTCTTTCTTCCCTTCCTTTCCCGGGTGTACCCAAATCCCCCGGGAAGACTTGGCTGCTGTGGCTTCCCAGCTGGTGCATGAGCAAATGCTGTGGGCAAAGGAGCTGAGGAGGGGATGAGCTGGCCGGCAGAGCGAGGCTGCTTTGCACGTTTCCTTTGCCTGCGGAGGAGCTGCAGCATGGCTCATCTCACGCCCAGCACGGCGTGCTGCTCCTCGCTCAGGGATGGCAACTGGGGACACTGCTTTCCCTCTGCCCGATGCATTCTGCATTTCAGTTAGCTTTCCCTGGGGGCTGAATGCAGTCCCCTGAGTGCTGGTCTGAGGGAGGAAAAGGCAGCAGCACAGAGGCTGGGTAGAGACTGGGAGTGCTGGAACATCGTGTGCTAGGAGGCTGTTTGGATTAGAAACCCTGCGGATCAAGTGGGCTGGATGAAATGCCAGGGAGGGGAATCAGAGTTTGCTGAACTCTAGTAATTGGACTCGTCTGTAACACCCGGATAGGAAAGTGAGCTGCTCACGCTCGGCACAGATGAAGGGAAGGAGCCAGCAGAGACCAGCCCAGTAGGAATAACAAGGCAGCCTGGATAGGTGACAAGGGGGAAAGGAGCTGAGGGCAATCGCTGGGTGCCAAAGGCACTTTCTGAGCACAAGTGGTAGAGGAGCAGTTAAGGACTGGTGTGGTGCAAGGTCTGGGGGGAACATGAACCACAGCCTAAGGAGAAGGGTGCCCCAAAGCTGTCTCTGGTATAATGTGGTGCACTGTGGAAGGTCCGTGTTCAAAAACTTTGGATAAAAACGGAGGGGATGGCTCCAGCCAGGAGCTACGACAGCCGCAGTGACAGATGTGGCTGCGCGGCCGTGGAGGCAGAGCTGTGAGGAAGCAGGAACAAATCTGCTGACGGGCTGAAGGAGCCCAAAGCAGTGTTTTCTGCGTGTTACTGGGAAGAAAATATGTCACGTAGTAAGTGAGGGGACTGGAAATGAGAGGCTGAACCAAGCGCTGAACTCATGTTGAAAACTTGAGCTTTCAGGAAAAGAAGACAAAAACCCCAAACAAACAGCTGATGATCAAAAGCAGGTATGTGAATAGCTGGAAAACTCAGCTCTGTGCATCTGGAGGAGCACGCAAATGTTGCCTGAGTCATCGGCAGTTTTAGCATGCTTGAAATTCACGTCTGACTCTGCAGGTACTGGGGAGATGTTCTGCTGGTCTTTGCAGACCTGGTAACCATCCCCTAAACTGGTGCTCCTTAGGAAAGAGTGATTTCTCTCTCTGGGTGGACAAGGAGGGACAGACGGGGCTTGCTGGGGGTGCTTTAGCCAGGCTCGTGCAGCCCTTCAGTGGGTGCCCGATGGGAGAAACAGGACCAGCTCGGTGCCTCGGCTTGGGTGCAGGTCCCTGCCCGGCAGCTTGCACCTACGTGCACCGACCTCTGCCTGGCAAGCAGCTGACGGCTCACCCTCACATCAGCTCAGCGCCCGCGGGCAGGCCCTGGCAGTGCTGACACACTCCGTGATCCCTAAAGGAAACAAGTAGGCGGTCCTGAATCCGGCCCCGGGATCATCTCTTCTGCCAGCAAGTTTGCCATTTGCCCCTCTCTTCTTTGGAGCCTTAAAATAGAGACCGAGGCTGGGAAGCCGGAGGGTTTTGCTGGAGTTTGTTGTGGAAGCAGCCCACGCTCGTGTCCCCAGTGGGTTGCGCAGGCTGGGCTGACCCCTGGGGACAGGCAGGAGAGGCGCGGGAAGCTGGCATCGATGTGCCTGCACTGCACATGGAGCCTCGCTCCTCTTCTTGTTAGCCTGCCGCCGTTCCCCTGGTCCCCTCTCGGGATGCAGACAGCTGGAGGCAGCGAGTTCAAAGGCCGGGCTGCTCAGGAAGAGGTGCGGGAAGTGCCGGAAGTCACTGGCTGTCATGTAGGAAAACAAGCCCGAGCGAGGGACGAGGGAGCATGGGGCAGGGACGGGCAGGAGATGCTGGCCCCGGCATCGCAACCAGTGCGCCGGCCCTGTCCCCGCTCAGAGGGCACACAGCAGGCTGGCTCGGCCGGGGAGGAGGCGATACGGGGGGCTCACCGAGGTGCATCCCTCCAGGATGGGCTCAGGGTAGCCCCCGAGCAAACCTGGCATCGCCGCCGCCTCTCCAGGAAGCCGGGCCCTTTGGGGGAGACAAAGCAGGGCCGGCCGCTTTGTGGTCACCGCGGGGTCCGTGACACCAGCTCTCTGGGCTGCTTCCTGGTCACCGGCCAGCTCCGCGCAGTTCCTCCGCTCACGCGCTCCCCGCGCTGCAGCTGGCCGCGGGCTTTGCTTTGCTCATTGTCTGCGGGTGATGCGAGTTATTCAGCGGCTGCCAGCTTGCAGGCAGAGAGGGAGATGAGCCACTCCTCCGCCCACGCCATGGGAAAGGCTCCTGGACGAAGCCCTGCCGACGCACACGTTCGCTCCTGCCGGGGTGAGCCCGCTGCGGAGCCCGCACGCAGCGTCCCCGGCGGGGAGCACAGCCTGGGAGCAGCCCGGGCTCTCCTTCTCCTCGTGTGTTTGCCTGCCGGAGCCAGACGGAGGCTTGCCGTCACTATTCTTTTGCTTTGTGTCAATATTATGACAGCTAAAAGCAGGAGAACTGCATCCACACGATAAGCGGCCAGCAGCTCTGGGCTGGGCGTGGATCGCGTTCGTTTGGCAGGGGAGAAAAGCGCCTGGGAGCCCCTGTGGGGAGGCGACGGGCAGCAGCAAAGCATGGAGGCTGCCCCACGCGCCTCTCCTCCCCGTTAAACCTTGGTTCCCTGGTGGAAAAGCCACCTCTGGCTCTCACGCCAGCCCCACTTTCCTGGGGACGGGGCTGCGTGGGGCAGCTCGGGAGCGTCTCCGCTTCCCGCTCCGGACTCTCAGCACCTCCTGCACCAGGGGCTGTTGTTTTGGCACGGTGACTGCACGCCCCGCGGAGGCTTGCTCCGGGCAGGTGCTGATGCAGTGCTTACCTGTAGGCACCCACGTATGCTCGGCGCTGCGGTTCGGCTCCCTGCTGCCTCACCCTGCTCCTGCAAACACCCGCGTCCCGGCGAGTCCCTGCCGGCCGCCGGGCAGTATGTGCTCTCCGTGACTTCCCCGCCGGCTTCCCTGGTGCTGCTGCGTCACGGCCGGGCTGGGAGACGGCCAGCCAGCCCTAACCCTCCCTGCCGCCGGCATCACTTTGCCCACAGCTTCACCTCCGTGGGAGCAGGGCTCAGCCTCAGCACTGAACTGAGAGATGAGAACCAGTGCCTGGCAAGCCAGACACCGACCCGAGTACCTCAGGGCCCTGGGAGAGAGAGATGCTCTTTGGTGACATGGCCACTGCCCCCCTGAGATCTCCAGGGGGATTTTGGCTGTGTGTGGGAGCAGCTGGCCCTCCTGTGGGTCTCCTGCCTCCAGTGCTCCTGGTGTCCCCACCAAGAGCTGTGCCATGAGCGGGCTGGCCCCAGTGCCCATGAGCACAGGCAGTGTGGCATGGGGGGGCTCGCCTGCCTGCATGGAACCGAGCCATCAGGTGTCTGAGGTTTTGACCGGCCCTACGGAGAGGCCACAGGTCCCCGGGGAGGCCGAATCCACCCCAAGGAACCAAAATAAACAGCAGAGTTCCTGCCACGTGCAGCCCGGGGCTGACTAAGGGCAGCCGCTTCCGCCTGCCTCGGGCAGCAACAACAGGCGCCGCCAGCCACAATGTTCGGGGTGCGCAGCACGGCCCATTTCCCCCTATTGTCAGCCTCCTCCTCGGCAAACACATCCCCCTGCGCACCTGGGCTGGGAGGAGCGACCGCAGCACGGCGCAGCCTGCGGCCAGGCGTGGGCTGCCCGACCCGCTCCTCGATGGTGCCCGGCACCACGGCCGCTCCGGGGAGTCCTACGGGGCCCACGGGTCTAGCCTGTTGTCTGCGGGGTGTTTCCTTCCAGGGGTTGCTGTCCTGCTCGTCCACAAGGACACTTGACAGCCTAGAAGCCTGGCACGTCGCATCTCTGTGACATTTGGCCGTGGGGGTCCTGTCACATCTCCGTGACATTTGGCCGCAGGGGTCCTGTCGCAATTTGGGGCTTGGTGCCCGAGGGGCTGGCTCCGCTGGGCACCAGACGACACGGGGTGTGGTGTGGCCCCGGGTGGGAGCTTCCAGCCCTGGACGAACTGGCTCCGGTGTCAGAAATAGCAGCAGCACAAAAATAATGACCTGAGGTTTTCTGGGTGTTTTCGAAGGGTTCGTCGAGTGACGCAGGAGGGCCCGGAGACAGCCGGCTTGAGGAGGAAGTGGGGATGTTTTTTTGGGGCTGTTTTCACCTGAGACGCTGCAGGTGGGATTCTGTAGGGGGGAAGACTCCTGTGAGGGGATGTGGATCCTAACATGGGGCTGCTTTTGGGAAGGAGGACGGCTCAGCAGGGCGAGGCTTCACAGGGGAGAGTGGCTGCCCGTGGTGGGCCGTTCAGCGAGGTGGGCACGGGGGGCATCCCAGCGGGGCCATACAGCGGCTGTCCCCTACTGAACCGCCAGAAATCCGCACAGAAATGAAGCAGAAATCCCTGTGAGCAGAGCGGGGAGGTGGCACGGGCACACAGTCGAGCTGAGACTCCCGGCCTGCAGCTGCCACATCTGTCCCATCAGGAAATGTCTCCGCGTGCCTTCTGCCCCCAGCCGGTCCCCTGAGCCCTGTCCGCCTCCGTTCCCAAAGTGTGTGGCTCCGGACGCTCGTGGGAGGCAGCGTGAGAGACACCAGGGCACATTTACAGCACCAGCAGCAGCCCTGTCCTGCAGCGTGGAGCACAGCCCCGGCAGCTGATGTTTCTCCCATCCACGGGGGGACATTGCCGGTCACAGGTTACCCGCGTCCAAATATTATTTCTCTGCTCCCGTCTCTGCTGCGTGCTGCCTAGGAAGGGGATGCTCATCCCAGGAATGTAAACTCTGCCCAAGGCCTCTGAGGAAATAGCTTCAGACCAGGAACAGGCTTGCACTCGGCAATTAAGGGCTGGTCTCCCCAGCCACACGGCTCCTGGGGGAGAGCCCTTTGCTCCGGTGCCAGAGGCTGGCCTTGTGTCTGAGAGGTGGCCCCAGGGGACCTTCCTGCAAGGACAGGCGGGAGGCCCTGCGTGGTCACGGTCTCTGCAATAACAGCGCTCTGTCCTTCCAGCGAGCTGGTGGCAGCGACCGCTCGGGGCAGGAGGAAACGCTCCCTTCACCCCCAACCCCAAAACTGCCCCTGGGGAGGAGGAGGGGGTGCCCTTGGCCGGGAGGGGCCGTGGGGCAGCAGAGGGGGAGCAGAGGCGGCAGGGGACATCACAGCAGGGACATTAGCAGCGTGTGGAGGCTCCAGACAGAGCCCGACGCCTGCTGACGCCTGGGCCACGGCCACCTGTGTGGCCCCATGGGGCTGGGGACGGGCCACCAGCGTGTCCCTTGTCCTGGGGACCGACTGCGTGGCACTGGGGACGAGCCACTGCTGTCCTTGTGCCGCAGGGCCAGACCCCACAAGGAGGTGGACAGGGAAGCCCTGCAGCAGCCTCCCTGCCCTCCTGGGACGTGAAGCCTGGCAGGGACGCAGAGCCCGTTATTTCCCCGGGACCTGCAGCCCATGGGGGATCGTGTTGCCCGCTGGCACCCCTTCCCTTCCCTTCTCTTCCCTTCCCACCTCCCTGCAGCCGCAGCTTTCCCGGCCACCTGGCACTTAAAAATAGCACGGGAAAGGCCACAGAGCTCCTTGGGGCTTTCCTCCCAGCAGCGGGGTTTGGCCTGGCCGCCCCCAGCCCCGCTGCAGGGAGAGGCTCCGGATCCCAATGGGGTCTGCGGGCAGGACCGGGGGGCTGAGGGGCTGCAAACCCCTGGGGCAGGGAAAAGCCGAGCCAGAACGGGGGGATAAAGGGCTGGAAGCCGTGCCGGGAGAGGCGGGGGGGGGCTGCAGGCGGGGCTGCTCGGTGGCCCCCGGTGGCACCGGCCGGCCCCGCAGCCGTCGGGGCCGGGCACCTGCTCCCGCCCCGGGGGCGGAGCGGCGGCGGTGAAATAGGGGCGGCGGAGCGGGGCGCGCTCCCATGGCCCGGCGGAGGTGGTGGAGGAGCGGTGCCGGTGCCGGTGGCCGTGCCCCGGTGTCCCGGTGGCTGCGGGGCGACATGCCGGGGGGGCGGCGCTGGAGGCGGTGGTGGCGGCGCTGAAGCCGGCCGGTGGCGGAGCGGCGATGCGGCTGCTCGGAGCCTTCCTGCGGCTGCTGCTGGCCGGGGCGCTGGGGGCCCCGGTGAGGAGCGGGAGGAGGGGAAGGGAGCGGGACAGGGGATGGGGGAGGCGCCGGGGGTCGCGGCGGAGCGGTGCCCCCCCCCCGTGCCGCCCCCGCCAGCCCTCGCCTTTCCCCCCTGCAGGCCCCGGAGGCGCGGGGGGCAGCCAGCGCCGAGGCGCACGGTGAGTTGGAAGCGGGTGGCAGCCGGTGCCCGGGGTGGGAGAGGGTTACGGGGGGCGGCTCCGGTGTCCCGGGGCCGTTATCTGCCCGCCCGGAGCCCCAGGGGGGGGTTCGAGTGGGATCCTGGGGGGATTCCGCGATCTCCGCGCCCCGGGGCTGCTTTCCCGTGCGCAGCCGGTCCCGGTCCTTACAAGCCGGCAGCGCAGCCTGGCCGCCGAGGGGATGGAGGGGACGGAGCTGGCAGAGCCCCTCGAGGGGTCCCGGTGGCTGTGGGAGCCCCCCAGCAGCGTGGTGATGGGCACGAGGGGTCCTCTCCATCCCTGTGCCCCACGGTGGGGCATGACCCCGTCACAGCTGCTCCTGCGCCACCCCATCCCCTGCAACGGGGACACCTCAGCGGGGGGCTCACCGGGGTCCCCCCTCCCCGGGGCACCTCCTTAGAGCCCCCCTTGGTCCCTCGCAGTCGTGAGCTTTAAGGAGATCTGGAATCGCAGCTTCTGCCGGCCGCTGGAGCAGCTGGTGGACGTCATCGCCGAGTTCCCCGACGAGGTGGAGTACATCTTCAGACCCTCCTGCGTCGCCCTGCAGCGCTGCGGGGGCTGCTGCGGGGATGAGGGGCTCCGCTGTGTCCCCGTGGAGACCAGCACGGTCACCATGCAGGTAGGAGCTGCCTCTGGGGCAGGGTGAGACCTCTGGTGGTACCGACCTCCATCCCTGCTTCCCTGCCCTCTCCTCGGTGCTCAGTCCGACCTTCTGGCTGCTGTCACCTTTCCAGACTGTCCCTGTGGGGCTGGGGTGGCCCTGTTGCTTGTGATTCTGCCCGCTTTGGGGACAAAGACGCAAAAATCACAGTGGAAAGGGAAAACTGGCAGTGTGATTGCCCTCGTGTGCCAGGAGATGGCTGTGGTGGTGCTGGCAGCAAGCGTGCGATGGGGAGAGGGTGAGCACGAGGGGCTGCGTGTGCTGTGCTTCCAGCCCCATTATGGGAGCTGTACGAAGTGGGGAAGGGAAATTTAGGCTATGAGCAAACTGTGTTGGCTCTTTCCAGTGTGCTGCACAGCCCCTGCCCTCGCCCTGCTGGCATCAACCTGCTGCTGCCGTGCAGGGGTGAGGGACTGGAGAGAGCCTGCAAGAAATCAGCAGCAAGTTTGATCCTGCAGGGACTGAAAGCGTGTTGGAAAGGGAGGGTAGGAGTTCCCAAAGAAAAAAATCCTGACTTAAGTGGAGTGAAAGTCTCTGAAGTGATGAAGAAGGCAATGTTCTGAGCTCCTGCTGGGCTCCCCTCCACATGTGGTGTGGTGATGCCAGGCACTTCTGCGGGGTCAGCGTGGATCACAGCATGGATGAACACTCACAGTGAAGCCCCTGGATGTCCAGCCTGGCCTCCAGGCTGGGCTCTGGGCTGACACGTGGCAGGGCAAATCCTGCGCCCCTGGGCTGGGGAGGCACCGCGGCACCGGCTCCAGGCTGGGTGCGGTGGGAGAGGCGGCAGGAGGAGGCAGCAGCAGTGGGAATGGTCTGGAAACCAGGGCTGGGGGGAGTTTCCTTCAGGGAAGGAGGATGTACAATGCGGACAAACATGTGAAAGGGCTCCACAGAAGCAGAGACCAAAAAATCTGCTCTGAGGCTGGGAAATCCCAGGGCTAGGGGATTTAGATTACAGACCCCGGATGCCGGGCGGTGGGAGCAGAGCCTCCCGAGCTGCAGTGCCTGTGGAGGTGGGGTCTGCGGTGCTGAGGACTGGGTCTGACACGTGTCTGGCGGAGGGGCTGGGGTGGACGCCATCCTGCGCTGGCCAGGAGGTAACCTTTGTTCCTCTTTCAGCTCCTGAAGATAAAGCCCAACGGGGAGGCACCCTACGTGGAGATGTCGTTCACTGAGCACAAGAAGTGTGAGTGCAGGTAGGGCTCGTTCTGTGCCGCTGCGAGCCTGCCAGCTCGCCTGCTGCCCCTCTGTGGGGACGGGGATGTGCTGGGGGCACCTTGGCTTTGTTGGGAGCCCTCCCTCAGCTCTGTTGTGCCAGGTGCTTGCGGGGCAGGCTGCCCCACCTGGGCACGGGGATTTGGGGGTGTGCGTTTTTGGAGGATTGTGAAAGCTGGGGAATGGGAGTCCTGCTGGGCAGCTGTCAGACGTGAGGCTTGCCTGGAAGAGCGTGAGGATCCCCGTGCTGGTATTCCCCTGCTGTGCAGGCGGCCGTGCTGGAGCAGACCCAGGGGCCGTCCGGCTCCGCGCTGCCTCTGGAGCCGTCCGTCAGCGGGCGCGTAAGGAGGAGTGGGAAGGAGCACGTGTGCTGCTTCCCCCTGCTTCCAGCTGTTTTCCGTGCAGGGAATTTCCTGAGCCTGTTGTGGGTTTCCTACACGGGGTAGCTCCCGGGGGAACTTCCTCAAATGCTTGTGCAGCCCGTCCTTTGGATTCGTGCAGGCTTCTTGCATCTGCAGCACCTTTTGTCTTCTCGTTAAGCAGCCTTCAGCACTTCTGTGGCTCCCCCTTATTGAGCTTAGCGGAAGCGGGGTGGATGTCCTGGCCTTGGCTCCTGTGGGGGATGCCTGAGCCAAGTATGTTGTGGCTGGTGTCAGACAGCCACTGCTGAGACTGAAGCAAATCCCATGTGTTACTTGGGGCCCTGCGTCGGCTTTGACCAGCTGAGCGATGAAAGCTGTCGCTGAGAGCAGCCTAAAAACCGAGCCCGTGCTTCCTGCCCTCATGGGCAAAATGGCACAGCCCCGAGGGGAGCCACCAAAGTCTGGGTGGGAGAAGTCACTGGGTCTGCTTTAAGCACGAGTTAAACCCGGTGTGCTGCAGGTGGCACTGACCACGTAACACCTCTGCTCTCCCCGCAGGCCACGGCAGGACCCGGTGAGGCCGGGGAGGTAAGTGGCACTGGGGGTGACGCTGCCGCCCGGGGCTGTGGCCTCACTGCCCACGCGTCAGTCTCTCTTGTGCTGCTTTCCTTTTGAAGGAGGAGACCCAAGGGCCGAGGTAAGAGAAGAGGAGAGAAGAAGAGACGTAAAGACTGTGAGCTGTAAGTGAGCAGGGGCAGGCGTGGGTGCTGCCTTCTGAGTTCTGTTTGCAGGGAACAGCAGGATTTTAGGCCTTTACCTGGCGCTGTGAGTAGCGATGGGTTGAGGGGAGAGCAGGACGGAGGGGACAGCAGGTGGCTGGGGGAATCCTCCACTCACTGGGGGCTTGGTAGATGCTTGGTGGCCTTGAGGCTGAGATGCTGAGCAGGACGGAGGGCATGGCTTGATGGTGCGTGGCTCTATTGCCGTCACAGACTGCGCTGTCAAAAAACAACCCGTGAATTTCCTGTTCCAGCCTCCTTTTGCTGCCAGCCGTGTCCTTACTGCAGTCCTTGGCTGGCTGCTGTTTGGGTTACTCCCAGCCTTCCCCACCTTGTGTTCTGCTGACTCTCACAAACAGCCTGCTGAGGCCGTGCAGGCCAGGCACGTGCAGGGGACGCAGCCTGGGGCTGGCCCTTCCCTGTGTTGTCCAAATCTTGCTGCCCAGTGCATCTACAACCCCACAGCCCCCTCCTCCCCACGAAGCCCTGCTTCTTGCGATCCCATCCTGTGGTTTGGTGGGGAGGGAGGGACCTGGGGGGCAGCGGGGGGTGACCCTGGTGGTGCTGACCCAGGTGTGCTCCCCTTGCAGATGCGGCATGCCGCGCAGGTAGCCTCCGCTCTGCCCCCGGCCTCGCTCCTGCCTCCGGGGCCTGATCCAGTCCCATTCCTGCCCAGCGCGGGGGACGTGCGGAGCTGAGTGATGGTGGCTGGGGAGCAGATCCGCAGCGGGAAGGAGCCGACGGGACTCTTGCTTGGCCCTGGAGCCGAGGACTCCCTCGCCCTGTCTGCACCGGTTGCAGCAGGACTAAAGGACCCTTGAAGGAGGATGAGGAGCTGGAGCTGCACCGTGGTGCTGGAGGGCCGCGAGGAACGGAGCTGGTGGATGTGCTGCTGGGGGTGGCATGGGGTGGGGGCTGCAGCCACGGAACTGCTCTGTCCTGCCTGGGCAGGGGGAGGAGGGACAGCCGGGACAGGCAGGGCTGCATCGCTCCCAGCTTGGCACGGAGCAGCCCAGGAGGTGCCAGGGTGGGTGGGGAGCTGGCCTGGGGAGGCCTCCTGGGGGGCACGGGGAGGGAGCTGGGGTGCTGTGGGCCTTCCTGTGCTCGTATCCTCATCGTGGCCTCCCCCTTCTCAATAAAAGCTGGGGGCAGACCCAGGAGCTGGCAGGGTGAGTGCTCCTCTCCTTTCCAGCAGCTGCAGGCTGCTTTGCTGCTGGTGACATGGGGTCCTGGGACCCGCTCTGGGGAGGGAGCTGCCCCTCTTTGTGGTGCTGTGTGCGGCTGGAACCTCTCCCTGCTCCCCATCCCCTTCCTGCTCCAGCCCCAGCCTCTCTGCCCTGCTGAGGGCTGGTCCCAGCTCTGTCCTGTGGCCACCCCTTCCCCTGGTGGGGCTGCTGCAAGGCGGGCAGGCTGCACGTTTTCCCCACTCCTGCTGTGGGAGGGCTGGATCTGGCTGCCGAATGCACCCCCGTGCTTCTCCATCCCCTCCTGCAGTGCACGGACCCGAAGGCCAAATTGGGGCACCAGCACCCCCCTGGAACACCCATGGGGCACCACTGGTGCCCTCAGTGCCACCAGCCAGTGCCACCTCCTCGGGTGTGGGGCTGGCTTCTGAGCTCAGCCCACCTTCCTGCAGGTCCTAGCTGAGGTTTATTTCTCCAGGCTTGAAGCAGAAGCCTGGGTGAGAAGATGTGCAAAGGCTTAGCTCTTGCCATCAGCTGAGAAGAAATGCGGTTTGTTCCACCTGGGTTAACCTGCTATAGCATGTGGGTGGGGGTTCAAGGCAGCTCCCCCTGGGTCTGGCACAGTCTGACACTTTGCAGGGAGCTGGGGCCCTGCTCTGGGCAGGTTTGGCTCCTTTCAGCCTGTCTGGCTGTGCCTGTAGGATATAACAAGAGCTGTGAGCAGCACATGGGGGGTGGCTGTGACGGTTTCTGCACTTGTAACAGTAAAAGTTTCACCAGGGTAGCATTACACCTATAAAAAGAAAACTACGTAAAAATGAGGGTGTTAATCAATTAACCTGTTAAGCGTGGTTATGAGGGTTAAAAGCAGAATGGCTCTATTACCTGTGACTTGGAGTGCCTTGCATCCTCACGCAATGCAGCTGTGTTTCCCAAAACCTTGGTGCAGCTCTGCTGCCACAACCTGCTGTGCCGCATGGGCAGGCAAGGAGATGGAGGGCAAAATCACCCAGCACTGGGTCCTTTTCTCCCCGAGACCTTGCTGCTGGCCTCGTGGTCTGGATCCCAGCCGGAGGTCAGGCTGGCAAGGCCTGGGGCTGGTGATGCCCCGGGGAGCAGCAGGACCCCGGCCGCCCCGCTGGGTTATCGGTGTCCTGAGGCTCGCTGCCTCTCCCGGCGCTGCGGGGCAAAGGTTTGTTTAACGAGGCTTTAGGAGAAGGGCTGGGGCAGGAGGGCTTAGAAAGGGTAGGAGGGAAGGCAAAACATCAGCTGGGCTCCGGGCTGCAGTTACGGTGTGCTTTGGGGGTGCACCTGGTACGGTGCTGGGGAGCCCAGGGGGCTGGCGTTAAAGGTTTTGCTGATAGCTTCAGTGAGGATGCAAGGGATCTGTGCAACCTTCCTGCTTGCTGTTAGCAGCTTCTGGGGGATCTGAGCCATTTTCAGCCCCCGGGGACCACTGGGACCCGCTGCAGACCAGGCTCACCCCTGGCAGGAGCACACCGGGGGCTGTGCAGCCGCAGGGATGCCCCGGGTCGTACCCGGGGGGGCGCCGCCGATTCCCCCCGGCCAGGTGCGAAGCCGGAGGCGAGCGCGTCCCCGCGGCCCCTCCCTGCGCGTGCCCGCGGCCGGGCGCGTCCCCGCGGCCGGGGATGAGCTCACCCGCGGCCAATCGGCGCCGCGCCGGGGCGGGCTCCCGGGCGCGCTCCCCGCCGGGCACCGGGGCTCGGTACCGCTACCGGGGAGAGGGGGTCCGGGGGGCGGGGGGGGGGCGATGGGCGATCGGCAGCCCCGCGCCCCCCGAGGCCATGCGGACCCCGTGGCGGGGGGCGGGCGGGGGCGCTGCCCACGAGGGGAAAGCCCCCGGGGGGACTGCCCGCGGGGGCACTGCCCGCGGGGGGATTACCTGCTGGAGGCGGCGCGGCAGCTGCGGCTGGCGCTGGAGCGCGACGTGAGCGAGGATTACGAGGAGGCCTTCGCCCACTACCAGAACGGCGTGGACGTGCTGCTGCGCGGCGTGCAGGGTGCGGGGGAAACGGGCAAGGGGGTGTCCGGGGGGTGTCGGGGCGCAGGGGGGTCGGCGGAGGTGCCCTGACGCCCAGCCGCCCGCAGCCGACCCCAATAAGGAGCGGGGCGAGGCGGTGAAGAGGAAGATCGCGCAGTACCTGCGGCGAGCCGAGGAGATCTTCACCTGCCACCTCCAACGTGGGCTGGGCGACGGCAGCCCCGCGGGCACGGTGAGCGGCCGCGGTGGTGCGATGGGGTCGGGGGCTGATAAGGGGCTCGGGGAGCCCGGGGAGGTGGTGGAGGCACCGTGACGGGGATGTCCGTGGGATGGTTGGACGTGGTGCTTGGGGACGTGGTTAGTGGGTGCTATTGGTGGTAGGGGTGGTTGGAGCAGGAGATCCCGGAGGTCTTTTCACAGAATCACCTAGGTTGGGAGAGACCTCCGAGATGACATGGTGCACCCTCTGACCTAACAAACCAACCTTTCCAACCCTCGTGGGTCTGTGATCCCCTGGCCCTCTGCTCGCGCTGCCTCGCAGGGTTACAGCAGCCTTCGCTTACGGCCCATCAGGACACTGAGCGCGGCGGTGGAAAACCTCAGGCGGTGTAAGGTGGTGGGAGTGATCGATAAGGTGAGGGCTCGACATGGAGCTGGAGGGCTGAGGCTGGGGACCGACCAAGGGAAGCATGACAAGGAGGGGCCTGGCCGTTGGGATGGGGGTGATGGCTCACCAAGGAGCATGGGGGTCTCCATCCACACTGTTCCCACCAAGGAAAATTCACAGCGGGGAAGCCAGAAACTTTGTTAGCTGGCAAGTCTGTTAATTTCCCCTTTGCTCTTGCTTATCAAAGCTTCCAAGATACTTATGAGGAAGCTGCTGCATCCAGGTCTTTCCCGTGTATGGGATCACGCTCGATGGCCGGGTACAGTGGTGGTGGATTCCTGCAGCTAACCCAGACTTCAGCAGCAGACCAGCTCCCTGAATGAAAAAGCTAGTTAGTCATTTGGGATCTCAGAGCGAGGATGCCAGGCTTTCTGTCTCCATACGTGCACTGGCACGTTGCTCCCCTCTGCTGTTCTCCTGGCGTGGTGGTTTGTCAGGGCTGGGGTTATTCCTGCAGGCTGCGTGCCAGGGGCACGGTGTCTGAACAGCTCTGTGTACGCTGCCTGCAGGTGCAGATAGTCCAGGATCCAGCCACCGGAGGGACCTTTATCCTGAAGGTGGGTGTTTATGGTTTCACAGCTCATCAGCTTCCTCGTCATTAGGAGGAAATTCTTCATTGTGAGGGTGATGAGGCCCTGGCACAGGCTGCCCAGAGGAGCTGTGGATGCCCCATCCCTGGAGGAGTTCAAGGCCAGGCTGGATGGGGCCTTGGCCAACCTGATCCATTGGGTGGCATCCCTGCCCACGGCAGGGGGTTGGAGTTAGATGATCTTTAAGGTGCCCTTCGAGCCCCAGCCATTCTGTGATTCTGTGATCTGCCTCCATCCCCTGTGCATGACCGTGGGGCAGGAGGTGTCTTGCAGCCAATAGGGCCAAGTGGTGAATGTTCCTTAGCTCCTTTTCTATGCAGCTCAGCAAAAAGAAGATTTATGAGTAACAAACTTCCTCTAGGACCTCTATGATCTGCTATTTTTGTCCACTCACCTCCCTCAGCCACCAGAAGGGGAGAGGTTCTCCTTGTTCATTCGTGTGTTTCTCCGCTGGGCCCCGGCCTTGTAATGGGGTGACCCAGGCCCAACACCCGTGTCCATCTGAGTCCAAAACGGGTGGCGGTGTGCTTGGTACAGGTGGCAGGGTGTTTTCCAGTGCCCTTACAAGTAGCTGTGTGTAAGAATAAGACTTGTTTAGCCGCTGGCGAGGAGGCCGTGGCGTGACGGAGAAGCGCCATTTCCAGGGGGAGTGTAGAGGTGGTGTGGTGGAGTCCCACTGGAAGCAAGGCCCAGGAGGCAGTGTCCCCATGTCCCGTGCACTGCAGGAGCTTTGCAGAGCCCTGTGCTGTCACAGCTGGGTGTTGGGGACAGACGGACAGATGGACAGACAGACATACCACCACGAGCTGCAGGTTTCCACAGCGTGGGGCCCGCAGCTCTTCTGCCTGTCCTCCTGCCCTGCCTGGTCCCATGAAACCCCAGCCCCTTCGGTGCTGTAACCCCCCTCTACCTGTACCTCCTCAGAGCCTCCCCAAATCCCACGTGGAGACCCGTGAGCGGCAGACCATCATCCCTCATGGCGTCCCCTTCATGGTCAAGCTGCTGTGCTACTACGCGAGCGAGGACTCCATCTTCCTCCACCTGGAGCACGTGCAGGGTGAGCGGGGGCAGCACTGCCTCTTGGCCAGGAGCATCCTGCTTTTATCCATTTTACAGGATCAGATTGGTTTCTCCTGGTGGTTTAGGACTTTTTTGTTTTTCTAGTAACAGCACACGTGCTTCTTGAAAGGGTGGCTGGTGCCAGGCCTTGGAGACTTTGTGGGAGTTGCTGCTCAGTTTTATGGGGGATTTGGGAGATTTGATAAGAGCTGGCTGAGGAAGTAACCTAGAAATGGGGCTGTGGAGACCTAGGAGGAGGAGGCTGGGGGGGCAGGGAGTGTAATAGGGAAAGTAGCTCTGGGGATCACTGTGTCCCATGGGAGGGAACGGTCATACAGCCATGCCTTGCTGTAGGGAAGTTGGTGTGGTCTGGCAGCTTGAAAAGAAAAACCTCTCTGCTTTATTGGCGTTGTCTGGCTGTGGCAGGAAAATTATGGAAAGAACTGAGTGAGGTGGTTCACTTGGATGTTGTAGAACCAGAGGCTATTGGCAAGACCTTCATAAAACATTATATGGTTATAAAAGAAGAGGCCACAGTGGATTTTGAGATCAGACCAAAGAGAGGAGATGGAGGATCGGGGGATGAGGGGCAGGGAGCAGGTGATGTCCTGAGTGGGTAGGCCATGTCCTGTGCTCAGGAGGATTGTGTCTGCGGGGTGGGGCCTGGTGCACTTTGTGCCCCATCACTTTTTCTTCTCCACTTCCCAGGGGAGACGCTGTGGTCTCACCTGCGTGCCAAGTACCGTGCCCAGCAGGGCCCTCCCCACGGCTCTGGCTCCCTGCACTCCAAAGCCGCCCCGGCCCCGAGGCCCCGCAGCAGAGAGGACGCCGAGGGAAGCGCCCCGGGGAGCAGCCACAGCCCCATGGACCCAGCAGCATCCACCAAAGGCCCCAGGCCAGCTGTGCCCACCCCCAGGACTCTGTAACCACCGGCGATGCCGGGGGCTGCGTGTCAGCCAGAGCAGCCCCCCGGCACCATCCCAGGCTGCTGGGCGGTGAAAAGCTGCCCCCACTGCCTGCCCCCATACCCAAAACTGGGAGAGGGGAGCCCCTCCTGCCCTCCTCCTCGGGTCGGCAGCAGCTTGAGCCAGCCCTGCAGGAGCCGAGCCTGACCCACGGCCGGTCTGCGGCCTCCTGGGGACTCCGCAGCGCTCCGGGCTCCTGGGGGCACGGCCGGAGAGCTTGGGCCGTGAAGGAGGAGCAGGTGCGGCTGTGGGCAGCAGAAATCCTCTTGGCCCTAGAGGGGCTTCACCAACAGGGCGTCTTGTGCCGGGACCTCAACCCCAGGAACCTGCTGCTGGACACGGCTGGTAGGTGGTGGCCAAGGCGGCCGCCCCCAAGGGCTGGGAGATGGCTGCTCGCCCCATTTCCAGGGGGCTCCGGCTTTCCTGAGCCTGCTGGGGGAGAGGGTGGGAAGCTGGGGATGTTTGGATGTTTCTGAGCCTGGAAGCGTGGTCCCAGCTGGGGTTTCCAAGAGGTTGTTATGAGAGATGTCCCTGCGGAGGGAGCGTAGCTGCAGGAATGTGCTGCTTCTGCTCCCATGTGGGGCTGGCTGCCTGGGAAATCCCAGCACGGGGCAGCTGAGAGCAGCCGAGCTGTGCCTGAGGTCAGTGGGATTGCTGTTTTTCCCCTGCTTGTACTTGTGCCCCCAGGGTCTCCTTGAGCCTGTCCACCCCTTCGAGCCACGGGCACCACTTGCAGCACAAGCTGAAGAGTTCCTGGTCAGCTGGCAAGGGTTGGGGCAAAGTGGAGCGATACAAAACACCTAGGGAACAACAACAAGGAAAAAAAAAAAAGTGTCCTGGCTGTCCCCGCTGAGGGCGTGTTGCCAGCTGAGGGGCTGGGGCTGGGCTTTGAGCTCCCACCACCCTCACCAGTGTTGTCCTAACCTCCTTGGTGCTGCTCTGCAGGTCACGTCCGTCTCACCTTCTTCGGCCAGTGGACAGAGGTGGCACCACAGTGCTGCAGCCAGGCGCTGGAGGAGCTGTACAGTGCCCCAGGTGAGGCATGCGTCCCCTGCCTTCTGCCCGGTGCCACCGAGCAGGGTAGAGGCCCTTCTGCATGTGGTGAAGCCAGCCTGGAGTGTACCAGCCATGGGGCTGCCTGCCTCCAGCCCCAATCCCTCTGTCCCTGTCTGCAGAAGTCGGGGGGATCACTGAGCCGACTGAAGCAGCCGACTGCTGGAGCTTTGGGTCGCTGCTGTACGAGCTGCTGACAGGAGTGGTAAGAGGCAGAGGTGCTGGGACGGGGGGACAGAGGTGACACCGTGCTGCAAGCGCTCCCGTGCACACCTCATTGCTCCAGGAGGGCAGCTCCTGGTGCTTGTTATGGGCTTTTGGGTGCCAAGAGCCTGGATTTTACATCCTGCCGTGCTGGGACGGGGTCGGGTGGTGATGAAGGCTCGGCAGGGTGTTACTGCCCTGCTCAGTGCCGTTGCTCACCACCCCCCTCTGCTACTTGCAGCCGCTGTCCCAAAGCCACCCATCAGGGATTCACCCCCACACCCAGCTGCAGCTGCCAGAGGGGCTCAGCCTGGCGGCCGCATCGCTGCTCACCCAGGTGAGGGGCTTGGGAGGGAGCACGGGGCTGGAGGCTGGCCGAAACCCACCCTGGGCAGCTTTCCCAGTGTTCCCCTTCCCTCTGTTTTCCCTGCAGCTCCTGCAGCACAACCCCAAGCGGCGTCTGGGCGCTGGCGGGATGGCCAAGCTCAAATCCCACTCCTTCTTCAGCACCGTCCCGTGGAACAAGCTGGTGGGCTAGGCAGGAGGGGACACCTCCCGCCCCCAACCTGTGAACCCACCGGGGGGCTCTGCCCGCGGAGGGGGGAGGTTTTCCTGCCAGGGCTGTGCTGTGCGGGTGTGTAGGGGGTTTTCGAGGCATTCGATGTTCTGTCACCACTCCTGTGAGGCCGTGGTCCCCTCCTGTTGGTCCCCACAGTGGGATGGGAGCCTGTGCCCTGAGCCCTGCTGTGCCACCCTTCCCAACCATCCCAGGACACACTGACGGCCCTCGCTCTGCTTAGCACCGTGCCTTGGGATCTTCTCCCTGGGGTTTTCTCTCTGCTGCTACCACCCTCGACCTCCCTGTTATTTTTTTTTGTGGTTCCCAAGTGTGTTTCCCCTGGGCCCCGCTGGCTGGTGCCCGAGCCCGTGCTCCGTGCCACTCACCGGCTGCATGTGGACGGGCAGCACCTGCTGCAGGGCATATAATAAATATAATAAACTGCTCCTGACTGCTCGCAGCCGTGTCCTGTTTCTGAGCTGGGCTGCGTGTGCCAGGTGAGGGAGCCCCCAAAGCTGCCCAAAACCTGTCTGGGAGCCCGGGGTTGGAGCCTGAGCTTTACCAGGAGCTGCTGGTTCCAGGGCCTGATGCCAGCAGGGGCAGCACCCTGCTCCTCACCGCCCTGCCAGCAGCAGGGCTCCTCCAGCAGAGGGAGGCAGAGCCCAGGAGAAGCTCAGCTCCCAAAGCAGCTGGGCAGAAGAGATAAGCCAGGTTGCTGCGCTGCCTCGGTCTGAGGGCTTGTGACGGTCCCTTTCACTGCCTGGGTGGGTCCAAGGCTGCCTTTATTGCAGCTCCAGTAACTACAGGCACCGCCTTTCCCCAGCCTCCTTTATACAGGTACTGTGGGCCCTCTGCCTGCTAAAGGCACAGGGGTGCTGGGCACCAGCATGTTTCATCTGAACCTTCTCTTTAACTCAGTTATTTGTGTGACAGCAGCTAGACACGCTGCCTTTCCCTTACAGCACACAAGGGTTTTCCCCTTCTCCCCCCTCCTAACCTTCTCCCTCCCTCAGGGACGAGGGAAAGCTGACTCCGCACACGTTTCTCCCCTGCTGCCAGGAAGCAGCAGGGACCAGTCCTAGAAAATGCTCTCCCTCTCAGCATCACAGCTGTGGGTGCAAGAGTTTTCCCTGAAAAGAGGCTGCCTTTACTCCTGGCTGGAAAGGGCAGCCATTCTCTGAAGTTGATGTCAGAAATGGAAAAACCCTTCCCCAAACCAGGAATGATTTCTTAATGCCCCAGCAGGGACAGCTCCCTGGGAAAGTGCTGTTAGCACCACAGCTGAGACAGCTTCTGCTTTACACCTCCTTGATCTTTTTGCCTCCTTTCTCTCTTTCCAACCCCTTTCTACCCTTTGTCCCACTTTCATGATTTACAACACCCCACTGACCTGGCTCCAGCTCCGTACTTGTCCCTCTTGGCCCTTGTGTCATTTAGCAAATGCTGGGATTTCCTTGCTGTCCGTAAGGGTTCTGCTGATAGACCAGGAAAAGGATGACTTCCAGCCCTCAAACCTCATCTTTACTGGGAAGAGCCAATTCTGTGCCAGAAGGTTTGAGAACAGGAGAGTTCAGAGCCAGAGAAGCCTCAGCTTACTCTCACCATCAGCTACCCAGCTGCTTACACTGCCCTGGGGAGGCTGCCACTGCCCAAGGCCTCGCCCCAGAACCAGCTCACCCCAAACACACCCCACCTCGCAGTCGTTGCCCAGTTTTATTTTGTTTAAAATCCGCCGTGTTAAATACTTTTAGTTACAAGTTCTGTGTAGAGAGGGTACGAGTAATAGACTCCGCAGGCACTAGCAACCCCCTCGCCCCCCCCGTACATGTGTGCGCTATTGGATTAAGGACTGCCCCCCACCCCCCCCCAAAACCAGCAGCCTCGGGCTGGGATACACCTTACACTTAGAGGCCTGCCCCCCAGCTCCCTCCTCGCTGGAGGAAGGCCAAGCCCTCGCAGGCAGGAAAACAGCAGCCGGCCCCACCATCGGTGCGCTGTGACACAAGGACAGCTGCTGGGGGCTGGTTCTCAGCTGAGTGTTGGGCAGGTCATGGTGAAACGGGTGCCCCCCACCCCCAGGAACAGTGTTACCCCCCCCAGAGATCGTGTGCTCTGTCCCCCTGGCCACGAGCGTTCTTGGCCAGGCTGGAGAGAAACAAAATCTCCACGGGAAAGCAGGGGAGATGTAACCTGCTGCGTTCCTGTCCGAGGTGGGAGTGTAACCAGGGCACTGCCAGAGGCATGGCACCTACCTCAGCCCTGCTCTGATCAAAAACTCTGTTGCAGTCGGCCTGGGGGACCCCAGGCCGCCCTCACAGAATTGATGAGTGAGTGTGAAATATTTTCAAGCAAAACAGGGACAGAACAGCAGCCTTTCCTCTCCTCCCCCCCCCAGGAATCTCAGTGCTAGGAAATAAAGCTGAACCTGCCTCGGAGGGGCAGGGAAGGGTACCCTAGCACAGCAGCAGCAAGCATTTTCCAGTGGTATAGGACAAGCTAGAGGTGAGAGGTTGGTGCCACGAGGGAGAGGACGCCCTAGAGACGGTTCTGGAAAGGCAGTGCCATTCAGTGGGTGGCCCACCGCACAGCAATCCCCGTGAGAGACCGAACCGTCCTCGAACAGAACAGGAAAGGAGGTAGGAGCCATCCTCGCCACCCCCTCCGGGACACCTCCGACCTCAGGGGAGGGAGAGAGACTGGAATGACCCCTGCCAGTTCCCGAATGCCCTGCGTCGCCCCTGCTGGTGCCGCGGCCCTGCCCTGGGTGGGTGGCGTGGGGGGGTGGCTGCTCTACAGGTCGAGCAGCAGCACGCGGGGATCCTCCACCGCTGCCTTGATCTTGCGTAAGAAAGTCACTGCCTCTCTGCCGTCGATCAGCCGGTGATCGTAGGTCAGTGCCACGTACATCATGGGCCGCACCTCGATCTGCAGGGGAACAGCGAGACGGGCATTAGCGTGCTCAGCCCTGCTGCCTGCCCGAGGCCCTTCTCGGAATTTGGGAGGGCCTGGCTTTTTCCTATCCTGAATCAGGGGCTTCTGGGTGCCTCCTGCCTGGCACTGCACAGGACTCGGCCCCTTCCTGGACAAGCAGATTATTCAGTTGTCCCCCTTACAGATACTGCACGGCCCCCTGCACACCTCAGGCAAGTACCAGTGCCAACCAAGTAGCTCTTCACCCATTAGCCCCGCTTCTCCTTCACCGTAAAGCCTTGTAGAAAGTAACATCATCCCCCTTGAAAAAGCACGTGGGCTGTGGTCCTCAGCCCTCTGAGCCCTCTGAAACCTCCTGTGCAGCTCTACTCACTTTGCCTCCAACAGCCACAGGCCTGTCAACGATGGCATGCATGCCCAGGATAGCAGACTGGGGTGGGTTGATGATGGGTGTCCCAAAGAGCGACCCAAAAACCCCTCCGTTGCTGATTGTGAAAGTGCCGCCATCCATGTCTTCGATGGCCAGTTCATTCTTCCGTGCCTAGAAGAAAGGCAAGGTCTTGGAAAGCCACTCACATCACAGGAGACAACAAGGGTTTGGATGATCGCCCTCTCCAGGAATAAATGCTGACAGCCAGAGCTTCATTAACTAATTTGTTCAGCTGGTAACAAGCATAAATTACTGGAAAATGCGTTCTGGTTTTAAACCTGAACAGTGCTGTCTTTGGGGAAGGATTTTCCTGCCTTGGATTCCAACTCCTATTTTTGCAGGAGACTTCTTATCCCAGGGGAGTTGAGCCTTGGCCTCCAAAGACAAAGGTGAAGATACATCGTGTCACTAACAAAGAGCTGCCCTTCCAGAAGGCCTCAAACGAGTAGATAGATCTGTCCTGTAAGGCATGGCACGGCTGCAGCTGTAACTGGATCGCTCCCCGCAACACAACTCAGTGTGTTAGAGGTCAGAGATGACACCACACAGGGACTGAATCAATTCATGCCTGTCCAGCACCCTCAATTCCTTCAGTTCCTCCCAACCCTCTCCAAAACCACCTCCACCTTCACTTACCTTCTCCCCCAGCTCGTAGATAGCTCGCTCTATGTCAGCAAAGTTCATATTTTCTACATTCCTAACGACAGGAACCACAAGACCCTAGGGGGAAGCAGAGTGCACAATCAGCAAACTCAGGGCAGCGACAAACAGAGAGCTGCCACCGGGCAGGAGCCTGGCCTCAGCCCACAGCAGGTGGTTGGCACCGCCACCTCGCGCCCTGCCAGCCTGTCAGGAAACCTGGCACGGCACCCTCAAAGGGCCCGCAGAGTAAATCAGACTTCATCTTCGTACAGAAACCCATCACACAGCCAGGACTGTTCCTATCCCAAATCAACATCCATAAAAGCAGGTGAGACGATGGGAAGGATTCAGCCATAGCCTCTTTCTCTGGGAGAAGAGCGCAATCCCTTTGTGCAGGACCTCCCCTAGACTTTGGGAGCAGTGACAGTCCTGGCCAAACCTCTCCCTCACAACAGAAACAACTAATTCAGTGTGTATCACCATCCCACACTCTCCCTGGACAGGAAAATATCTTTGAAGCAGCAATATAATTTACAAAATGGTGGGACAGTACAGTAGGGTTAGTCCAAGGACACACCTAGATGAGCAGTTTTATCAGTTCCTGCTGCAGTGGGGCTCAAAGCTGAGTCAACTCAAAGTGAGCCAGTACCCATCCTAAAACCAAGGCTGCAGGGAACATGGCCAAGGCATCCAAGGTACCTACCCGGGGAGTTGCTACAGCAACACTGATGTCCACATAGTCCCTGTACACAATCTCTTTGGTCGTGTCATCAATCACTAAGTGAGGAAAAAATGGAAAGAGTTGTGTTATGCATACAGCACCCCAGATAGAGAGCTCAAAAGGCTAGGAATATCCATTAAATCCTAACAACTTGCTCATCTCTAGCTCAAGCATAACTCCAGAGAAGACTGAGCCTTTACTGCTCCTGCAGGAGAAGTGTCAGGACAGAGCTTTGCTAACAGGGCTCTTGGCAAGGTGTCATCTACCTCTGTAAGGGGCATTAGCAACATCAGGAGGAGCCCAAAGGACTCTGTCCCCCTCTTTCCTGTGTGTTTGATTTGCTTGCCCGAGCTATTAGCCCTGCCTTGGACTGGCCCACCTTGCCCCACTCACTGACAAGATGTGCAGCTCACCAGCAAGGGTCACCACTCACCTGCATTCACAACAGGCTGGTCCTGCAGAGCAAAAGCTGAAGCTTTCACAAAAGCTGACATGAAACCTAGTTTTAGGTTGTGCTTTTTCAGGAAGGGATCCTTGTGTACAGCTCTCATCTCCCGGATGTTGCTGCAAAACACAACAGTGGTCAGCAGGGAGTGCAGGAAAACACCCTTCCCTCGCTCTGTAACAGCTCTTGGTGTCACCCCAAGGACTGAAAACCTGCACTACCAACTGGCAAAACCCCAGTCCCCTGAAAAATCCTTCAAATGTCATAGATGAAATGGGCTGAGGGTGGCTC